CCAAGAGCCGGGGTCTGTCGGAGGTTTCTTCCGTTAAAGGGAGTTTTTCCTCCCCACTGTCGCCAAGTGCTTGCTCAAGGGGGGTTTGTTGGGTTTTCCCTATGTAATAATATTGATAACAGTAAGGTCTAGACCTTACTTTGTAAAGTGTCCTGAGATGACTTTTGTTGTGATTTGGCGCTATACAAATAAAATTTGATTTGATTTTGATTTGATTCAGAATATAATAAATAACAATGTAAATGATGTTGGACCTTCCTATCGCTTTGCTGAAGCTGCTGCCACAATGCATTTTGGGTATTTCCAAACAAAGCATATTAATCATGCTTCTCATTTTGGTATGTCTTGAACATTTATCCATTTCATGAATGCTTTCTTCGCAGCACCTTATAATATTATAGGAGCACATGCTTTTATCATTCAAGGTCAGTGTGGAAATCACACACCCTGTGCCATGCTGTATTTATCGGTCTGTCCAGGGCTCATCAATCAACTCATGGTGTAAATTAAACTATGCGGAATTGACAGAGTAGGTCAAAGATCCTTTTCTAAACTGTGGTCCAGTTGTGTTTCCCTAAGTATTCCTAAAAATCCAAAGAGAGAGGACGTAAAATAGACGTAGTGTGCTTCTCATGATGTGAATAATGATATTCATGGGAGCAGGTAAGTGGAAGCTGAAACTCATTATACCAAGCAGACTGTGTTTGTTCTTGAGGAACAAACTGAATTCTAAGATGGAAAGTAATTCTACTGTCAGATTTATAACCTGTCATTCTTTCACTTCTTTATTCTGTTCTCTTCTGCTCTACTACATCTACTCGTCTGACCCATCTTCCTATTCTTATTCACCTCTAAACTTCTCCTCTCAACCTTAACATTGCACCCCGCTGCTTCCCATCATCTTCATTTTACCTTTCACCTTTTTCCGATCTCATTTCTCCCTTTCTATTTCTTGCAATTTGCCCTCAATTCCAAACCCATCATTAAATGTTTTGCTCCTATCTCTTTGCCCTCTATAAAATCCATCTGACCCTGACCAACCCTTTGTCCTCCTATCACCACTTGTTTATTACTTCCATCACCATTATATTTTCATTCCTTCTGTTTCTTTCTGTTTATTTGTTTAACTCTCCGTCATCTCCATCCCATCTCCTCTAATCCCATTCCCCATGCTCTATTCTCATCCTTCCATCCTTTAAATTTTTTTCAACTTCTCCACTTGTATTCTTTCCATTATTTTCTCTTTAAATGCACCTTTTACCTCCTCTTTCCCACATCACCTCACTTTTCACTGTTTCTCTCTTCCACCTTTTCCTCTCCCTTTTGTGTAAACCTTTCACACTTGCTGTCCCACTCATTCCACTTCTACAATCTTCTCGCAGAATCCTCTCCATTTCCAAATGGTGATGCGGACTGTAGAGGCCCCAACATCCCGCCTCCTCTACTCTCTGCTGATGATGAATGGCTGGTGGGACATCAGCGTTCTGCTCTGCCAGGAATGGGACATTAGCGACTTCCTTGCCCTCATCAAAAACAACACTCGTTTCCACCTGGGCACTCTTGTTAATCTAACAACTACCACCTCAAACTCGTCACTGTCTTCGTTATCATCCTCAGGAGTGGAGGCATCGTTGTCATTAGCACCTTCATCTTTTATCTCCACTGCTTCTTCATCCCCCCCCTCCTCTAAATCAGACCAGCAGCAAGCTCTCATGCGGCAGCTGGAGGCCTTGAGAGAACCTTCATCCACAACAGCGGTGGTGATATTTGGGTGCGACATTCGGGAGGTGCGCCGCATATGGACAATGGTCACTAGAATGATGCTCCCAGAGTTTCACTGGATCTTAGGGAACAGCCAGAATGTGACTGAACTGAGAACAGAGGGATTGCCCCTGGGGCTAGTGGGCCACGGGCTCATGGGGTCCCCTTCTCTGGATCACTACGTCCACGACTCACTGGAGCTGGTGGCACGAGCAGTGGGCAGCGCAGCACTAAAGAATCCTGCTTTGGCACTCATACCGGGGACAACCAACTGTATGGATGTACAGCAGAGCAACAGGAGCTCAGGGGAATACTTAGCAAGGTAGGGAAATACTGATGCATAACAAGCAAATGCACATATGCATTCTCAAAAAAAAAGTATACATAAAAACCCCAAAAATAAATCAAGTAGTGTGGACATGCAGCAAATGGTGTGATTGACAGGTCACCAGTCTACAACATGGCTGACACACAGACAACCACATGCAATTTAGAGTCACTAGTCAACCTAACCTGCATGTCTTTGGATTGTGGGAGGAAGCCAGATTACCCAGAGAAAACCCAAGCAGGCATTGGGAGAACATGCCAACTCCACACAGAAAGGCCGCGTTCGGGTGCAAGGTTTGAATCCAGATCCTTCTTGCTGTGAAGCGACAGTGAAAACCACTGCTGCCCACATACAGCAGATACAAAACAGCATTATCATTAGTCTGGAGCCTTGTTTCTAGCTACATGTTATCGATATTAACCATATCTAAGATGGCAGACATTGATCAGCAAAAATGTATAAATAAAATGTAAAATGTGCTCTCACACACAAAACATTTATTGCAACAAGATGATGCTAGAACCCAACAGCCCTCACTTTCCACTGTGCTGCTGTCAATCTGCATCTTGTTTCTACTTTGTCTTCTTTATAATCCTTTTGTTGTGGGAAAATCTACTTCTCTCACATCTCACAGGTGTTTGAAATTGCAGCTGGACTGTGACCAATCTGGAATTTGGCACGGAAACACACAAATGATACACATCTGCATAGGTGCATGCATACACAATAAGGCAGCATTTAAGAATGCACACTATATATACACTGCAGCAGTGTGGTAAACGATAACGTGTGGTGAAATGCATTCATCAACACGAATCTGCAGCTGGGCCACTCTACTTTATGCTGCTGAGATGAGTGATGAGGAGTGTGTGATCACTGATCATACGCACTCCTCATCACACACGCCACTGCATTACTATTACAATTTGACATTTTCTACAGAGATTCTCCTCCAAACTCCTGAAACAGCAGAATGATCCTTCCAGGAAAAACATTCTTTGAAAGCTGTGAGCTGGAGCAGCTGCCAGAGATTTCAAATTGTGTTTAAGTTTATTTGGTTCATCTTAATCTTCTTATGAAATTTTGATTAGTCTGTTAGTGTTTTACATGTCACAGAACAAAGAATAGGTATCACAGAACCCTGTGGAGGTAAGAGATTTACCTGAAGAGGATTAGTTTGCAATGTTGGATACTGGTGCTAATCCCAGCCGTTTTACACACCGGGGATTTGGGGGGGAGTGCGGGGGATTTTCCATTACAATATGTTTGGCTTAGGAAAATCTGTAGGCATTGGATGGTAATACATGATATAGTGTGGAGATTGAATGTAACCTGCAAAGATAAAGACAGGCTCTAGATAATGGAGGGATGAATGAATGTTATTTTCCCAGAAATGTTATCTCCAATTGTTGGAAATCCAGTTTTTGTAAAGCCAGGGGACTGCTCAGATCATGGTACGCAGATTAATACACTAAATGTTGCTTTAGTGTAATGTATATATTGCCTATACAAAATGACAACAGCAATAAATAAGAATTATGTCCTCTGTCCCATAGGGGCCAATTCAGGAAACCTTCCATGTGCAACAAGTACAATTCACATTTGTCCAATATCCTTGAGTGCCACCGCCCTGGTATCCTCCAGCTTCTGTCTGACTGAACACACCTGATCCAGGTCATCAGTGTGGGTAGGGCAGGGACACTTGGAAAACAAGCAGGGCAGTGGCACTCGAGAACCAGGATTGCCCATGCCTGATCTATTGTAATACTGAAAAATTATGTTTACATGTACAACATGCCTCAATCTATTACATCAAGTTACTGCTTTGAAAAGAGATACAGGTGTTGAAAGGAAATGCTAACCAATACAGGATGTTTGCCTCCAATCGAAGCAATAAAAGTAAAATATGTTGGCAGCAGGTACAGTAGCAGTTGTTCAGCACAGTTAATGTCCAGTCATGTTCTGATGCACTTTATAGTTGCTCTGGTGATGGAGTGTGATAGGAGGTGAACATGAAGGGGGTGGTTTAAGCTACACTGACTTCAAATTCTCCACCTGTTACCAGCAAACTGCTGTAGCAGCACAGTGCCGCTTCAAGGAAAATCACTGAACTAAATAGACAGTGCAATTAGAAAATCATAAGTTAAACAAGAGCTCAGTGCATGTGACTTCTATTGCACTAGCTACTGTACTTGCAGATACAGAAATTCCCGTCTGCACATTTTGCGAACACAGCCTTACCCAGATTAAGTAGACTAACGACAATGACACACAAAATTAATGTTTCTTAAACACTGATGAAATTATCATGTTTATATTGTCATTCTAACCTCTTCAGTGGTAATCAACCTTCTCCCAAAAGGCTTTTAAAAGCCTATTGTGCATGAAATTAAATGAAACCAGTCTGTTAGACTGTTAAGCAAATGGAAAGATGAAGGCATCATTAAGTGCTTATTTTTAAATTTAGAAGAAAAATACGCCATCTTAAAAAAAAAAAATGTTCACCTAATTGTTTTTAAGACTAGTTTTTGTAAAAGAAAAAAACTGATTTCACAAAAAAGATAATTACTGCTTTTTTAAACAGTTTGTATGTCTACAAGTTGTGACTACTGAATTAAATTTGAATGAGTTAAACATATTATTTAAACTTGACCTGAGAAATTAATAAACATAACCTAGTTTCCTTCAAAGTGGGTATGTATTTGCTGTTCCATTGTGAAAACCACCAGCGGAATGGTAAGCCTCTTCCACAACTTCCATAGATAGACAGATATAGATCAAGGCCTAATTTTTACAGCTGAATCCACATCACAGCTGCACACAATGGATGACAAGCTGAAGCCATGAACACATTAACATTTGGCCAGGTTTTAACCCAGATGTTTTCCTCCAGGCTATGTGATAAAACTAGAGAACAGGTGTCAGGGAGGTAACTTCCACAGGATGCTGACTATAATCGATATGGGTTTGTTGAGGAATTTTAGATACGAAGTGAACCAAGGCAAAATGACTGTGTGATCCTCATTAAACAAGGTGCTCCAGGCCATGTTATTTGAGGGGAAAAAAACTCTCCTGTCTGGCTGAATCACAAAGAAAGGTCCATGATAAGTCCCTTATTGCCATAGTGCCATTCTAAATGCATTCCACTTTATGTGAAAAAACCTATGTGAACCTTGAATAACTGAAGCATTCAGTAATGGATTACAGTAACATGCAGTGTGCATGTGCAAGTAGGCATTTCTCCCAGTTGAAACTGCACCAGGGATAGAGAACTAATCAGCCAGCTGTGGATGTTTGGCTCGTGTGTAAAAATGACCTGATTATCATGTCATGGAATCATGTCATTGGCTCAAGATCAAATTATTCTGGCTGTTTAGAATATTTATATATTATATACTGTATAGTGATATACATAATGTAAGGGTGGGGAAAAAAGTAATGAATGTAAAATGATTAAATTATGAGAAATATGATTAAATATTCCTAATTTCAAATAGGAATAATCAGTTGCTGCTAGCAATCCTGCTTAGCTTTAAACCTGATGTATTCATCATCATTTCCATTTGTGCCGTATCTCCCTTCTTTTACTTTCTCTCACTTTGATCCAAGAAAGATCAGCGTGAGACAGGCATAGACTCTTCAACCTGGTCATATCCCACATCTTTTCTATGTACCATTTGTTGAAAACTTAGAAGAGTGTTGATAAAACAGCCAAGAGACATTGAAGTATACTACACATAGGGCAGCACAGTGATGGCACATTTTTACAGGAACTCTGTGTTCTGTTACATATGCAAAGACTTTTCTGTCTCCTAAAAATTCTGATTACATATTATTTTGCAGTCATTTGGAAAAAATATCTATTTCAGAAGAAACGCCCAAATCTATTGTACACAGTGAATATACAAATTTATGAATGTGTGAAATTGACATGGATTAAGGAGGATGGACTATCCTCTAGCAACACTATAGAATTTCCACTTGAATACAAGATATTACATTTTGTAATAGCCTGCTAGGCTCTAAAATATATAATTATATTACAGTGGGTTCTTGTTAGGACTCATTTCAAGCAAGCAACTACTGAATTTGTTGCTGCAATTCCACCCATCCATCCACTTTCCTCCGCTGAAATTATGCTTTGATAAATTTAATTAGCATTAGCTAGCTAACTGACCAAGTTTATTTTCACAGGTTGGTTTTTAAAATGTGGTGACTCATTTGAAAACAAGAACCATGTATACATGAATACCAAAGTGTTCTCTTGTCCAAGGCATCAAATAGTGGCATTTTGTTAACTACCCTTGGCATCTCATACTGATGCCAAAAGGGGCCTTTGACATTCCTTTAAGATGCTTGGGGTTTATTATGGAACAGCATTAACCCACTTGCATCTGTACACAAAGGCTACACGCTGAGGTTTAGCTACAAAACTACATGGTGATGTTTAGGCAGAAAAACTGTGTGGTTATTTTAAGGTAAAGGTCCGTGGGTTGGGTTAAAACAGTCACTGATTAAAAAACACAGCGTTACACACCAGAGTTGACCTCGGCTCTCCCGTGGGAAAGTGTGATGTTTGTTTGACCCATCTATCCACCCCGACCACCTCCTTTCAAGTTTTTCCCCCAATTATATACTTGAAAACACTGTGTGTCTCCCACAAGGCACACTTGAGCAACTTTATGCAATGCAGAAGATAACCTTACGCATCACATACAGATGCCAACAGTAGCCTGAAAAAATGTCTATTTGACACCCCGGGAATGAGACCAGGTTCGGAATATAGTGCAGTGTAAAAAAGACAAACTTTACTGTTCTGACATTTCAATGCAGCACTAGTTAGTCCTTATATTAAATGTATCCTAAGAAAAAGTCTAAGATCAAAACTGTAAGACTTAAGGTGTTTATATACTACAAGCAAGACAGATGTTAGATTTATGCTTTGTCTATATTTAAACAGTATTCGAATGTTAGAACAGAAAAAGTTCTTAAGATGAGAACTAACCGATGACTGGAAAATGTACCACTACCTAAAGAAGCTGAGACAGATTTTCAGGAAAATAGTTTACATTTGAAGAGACACATATAGGGTGCAGGCTGCAAAAATCCTGGATTAACAGACAAGATGCAGCCACAACAAATTTCAGCAGGTTATCTTATTCATTTGTTTCCTCACCAGAGACAATCCTTCATGATAAAAAACATTTTAAAGTATTGCATGCCCACCAAAGCCAAGTACAGTACAACAAATGTGCCAGACAGCTGAGCCATGAAGATATGAAATGCTATATAATAAATGTCCCCACTGAGACCTGTATGCTCTGAACTAATGTAAGTAAAACACTTTCTTTGCTCCAGGGAAGCACTGGTTTAACAATGCTCTTGGCAGACACTTTCATGTTGCTAAAACAGCAACAGCATTTACTTACTTCTGTAGCTTTTTAGTGTTAAGAACAAGATATTCTGATAAAGCCAGTGTGGTGATGAATATTTTGTAAGTAAGAAATGAAATTTTAAATGCATTCCCATCCCTCTTCATTCTGCTTGCTTTTGTACTTACTCCTCTTTAAAGCTAGCGATGCGAACAAAAGCAACATTGTGGTTATGCCCTATATCCTCAAAATCCTTTTTAGGTGATACATGAAGCAAGAACACAAGGTCAACATGACTTTGAGTTAGTGTCGCAGTCTAATAGATGTGATTCACTCACACGTCAATCTTCAAGCTCACACACCATCATTTTTCCATTTCACAAGGTGGAATTTTATCATGTTGAATTGTATAAAAAAGTGAAACCATAGATTTTATTCAGAGTGTAAGACGTGCTGTAGCCATTCCAATGAAGAGGAAGTTGACAGTTAGTGACCCTGATGTATTCAGCAAGCACATGTCCTTGCACTGGTCATTAGTTTGCTGGACAAAGGCTTTTGGTCATTCAAGCTTCTCCAAACTGATGTTTGTTTATTTATTTATAGCAAAGCAAACTTTAGTACAAGTTACACATTTTGTAATTAGGTATAGCCTCACTGAGTTAACTGCTAGTTGGAGCCTCTTTCAAAAAAAAAAAAAAGCTATCAGTCATTACATATAGATTGAACAAAATGAACTTACAAAACAATTGCTATGCTCCAAACCTAAAATACTTCGAAGGGTGTTCTGCAGTTTTGTTTTCACACACACACACACACACACAGTATACATACACCATATATATTGATGAAAGTGAATATAGAGAACTCGTTAGGGTTTGGGTTACTTTACCATCTGGTCCAAAAGAGAATTCCACCTCAGTGATAGTAAAACCAAAGAGATGGGGGTAGATTTCCAAAGGAAACATACATATACACAGTCATCATCAGTGAGCTTTCAGTGAGTGGAGATCTAAACTGCAGAATCACACAGGTACCTGGGTGTTCACTAGAGTGGTCAAACAATATGTTTTACACAAGAGGGGCCAAAGTCGACTGCACCTATTGAGGAGACTGAAGTCCTCTGTTAAAAACCTTTTATGACTGTTGTTGCATCTAATCTTTATGCAGTGGTCTGTTGGTGGGTGTGGGCTCACAAAGTAACAAAACAAAGTGATCAGTATTGCTAGTTCTGTCCTAGCTTCTTCTAGACAGTGAAGATCAAATACATCTTTTGGCATCTCAGACAGAGCAGATCTGTGGGTGCATCAATTCAACACCTGCAAACTGGTGTAATTAGAAGCAGTTTATTAATTAGTGCAGCCAATCAGGATCAAGCCCATATGTAATGATGATGCAAGTGAAGTAGTAGCACCTTCACTTCATTCTGCATTTTCTACTTTCTAACAGAGGTTTTCCACTCCCTGTTCATGCATGAGAGAAAGGGAAGGGGCATATTTGTCATGCTATCTTGAATGAGAGATAGCATCCGACTCTAGAAGAAGCTACTTCTCCACTCCCCTTATACAGTACAACTCCACTCTGCTGACATACACTGCTAGTATTTGTCTGAAACTGTCTACGACTTCAGATGTAAATGATGAAACACACTAAAATGTTATCAGTCTTGAATAAACATAAAAAATATTAACTACGTGACCTTTTACTAAAATGTGACAATTCACTCTTAACATGTAACACCCTTTGCACTGTCAGGACTGAGCAAGAGTGTGTCACTTCCATTGTACACAGTGAGGAGAGAGACAGATTCCACAGGTAGCTTAACATCTACAGTACAAGACACTGACCTTCAGACAGACTAGTTGAGCTGTCAGGTTGGCTCAAAACCTGTTAAGATGGGGGGAAACAGTCAAGCTGGTAGAAAGGGGAATTTTCTGGTGAGCAAGTTGAAGAAAAATAATATTTTGCTAAATGTCACATCATTATCTCCTGAAGACATATCGAATAAGTGTTCATCTACCTGCACCGAATGGATGCCTGTGTTCTTTCTTAAAACCAAACATCCATTCAAGTGGGCAAGTGTGCCTTTTTCTGTGTGTGGGTGTATCTACTCTGGTATCTGACACACTCAGACAGCCAGTACCATGGCTCAGTGAATGAGATGGCGTGATCACTGGACCATGGTCTGTCTTATCCTGTCACACAGACACACCCACCATGGACAGTCACTGAGACCACCAAGATAATATTCTTCTCTGGTGCTGGTGATAGATCATTAAATTGGGATTTTTGTATAAACTAACAAGCGGGAAAAATGTAATTGTGCATTTAAGCCAGTAAATCCCATCTACATAAAAGTCCTACGATCTACTGTATGGCATGTACAAAAGTCAGATACAGTGTGATTTTGTTAGAGCACCACAAATCCCACTTAGAAAATGGGTAGTGATGGAGAGATGAAGCTGTGCATTGAAGCTTTCCAGCCATTTGCTACCTAATTGTCAAAAGAAGCCTTAGAAAAATCTAGTCAAACTGCACAGTCACGCAGATTATACTGTACAGGACTACATAAATATCTGAGGGACAGCTGGTATAGCTAATACAAACAACTGAATTGCAATGATCATGAAAACTACAAACCCACAGCCTTTGCAATTCCCAAGGCTACCGCTCATATCTGAAACGTCCCACCAACCTTCAAGAAATTCCTGAAACAGTAGCCCAGATGAAGATTAACACATCATCATTTACATCGCACTGAGACATTGGAACAATCTTATGAGAGACATGAGATGCACTCATTATTTGACTGATGTTCAGCTTAATATCACCACAAACGGGGTCAACAAAGTCTGAGTTTTGACCATGGAGACAGTTGCTCATTTCCTGTTTACTTCTATCAAACACACCTTAGCAGTACTGTTTCCTTGTACCATACTAGTGATCTTTATCTTCTGGCCAAAATAAAATGCTGAGCCAATCATGTAGAGCAACATGGTTTTCTAAAGATTTTTTTGTTAGTTAGTTAGTTTTCTGGGTCTGTTAAACTATTAGTAGACTTTTTCTTTCCAGAGACACACCTGAAATGGAGGAAACACCCAAGATACAGCTACCTTATGGATCCACTCAAATTACTGAAAGACAAAATTATGTCTTCTTCTAACTGTCTGCTATCCTGTACACACACACACACACACTTCACTTTTCGATTTATTTTTTCTTTTTCCCTTCAGATTTCTATCCAACACATCATTTGATGGCCAGAGCGGTTTTTTATCCAGAGAGAGTCAAAGCCAGAATGTCATCTCCGAGGCCCATCACTATATCTGGTCCCTCCAGCTGGACCCTCTAGGTCTGCCAACCTGGACCCGCCTGGGGCGCTGGCGCAGGGGAAGAGTTCTGAGGGACCGGGGAGCCTGGCAAAGCCACCTAGGTTCAGGAGGGGGTGGTGACTGGCGCCGACCCACACGGCTGCACATGCGGGTGGTGACGTTGGTGGAGCACCCCTTTGTGTTTACTCGCGATGTGGATGTAGATGGGTTGTGTCCCGCAGGCCAGCTGTGTCTCGACCCGCTCACTAATGAATCTTCAGTTTTGGAAGGACTTTTCCAGAACCTTGCAGGACCAAACGGATCTGTTCCCACTGAGCTGAAGAAATGTTGTTATGGTTATTGCATTGACCTGCTGGAGAAGCTAGCAGAGGACATGGGCTTCAGTTTTGATCTCTATATCGTCGGTGACGGGAAGTATGGGGGACTCAAGAACGGTCGCTGGACAGGATTGGTGGGGGATCTACTCAGTGGTGCTGCTCACCTGGCAGTGACTTCTTTTAGCATTAATTCAGCCAGAAGCCAAGTTATTGACTTCACCTCACCTTTTTTCTCCACCAGCCTGGGAATTCTGGTCAGTACTGATCTTCTGTTGCTGTCTTTCACTTTTTTCTCATTATATAGAGATTTCTTTTTGTTCCTCTCTTTCCCCTCCACTACTTTTTTCTCACTGCCGCTACCCTTTGGTCCATCCCTCTCCACTCTGTCTGACCTTACCACAACTTTTTCCACTAGGTATGTTGGTGGTCAGTACCAATATTGCAGTCATTTTATTACCAGTCCTAGGTTATTGGATTCTAATGCAATTCCCCATATGAAGCTAGACCGGTGAGTGTACAGCTTTGTGGAGTGACCTTATTACTGCAATTATTAGTCTGCTACTGCTGACAGGCATAGTGATGGTGATAACTCTCTCCTTTTCTTCTCTTAACATGCCACAGAGGTAGATGTTCTGCTTTATTTACAGCATCTCCTCCATTATCTGTCTTCTTGTTTATCTGTTTCACCTTAGTTGTTGAGTAAGAAAGATACCTATGTCAAAGGAGCACATTTACATTTGAAAACATCAATAGATTGTCAAAATTTTGCCCAAATAAGGCAGAATATACAGCACAGAATAGTTATTTACTGAACTTATGAGTAAATAGCAACATATTTTAACCTGATACTGAAACAGCCTGTAAAATACAACAGCTCTGGCAATGAAACAAATTCTTATTTTTGGAGTGGAGCAGTTATAAAGGTTTCCAATCCTGTGTCATACTCTGCCCAGGTTCGCACTCGCGACACAGCTGCACCCATTGGAGCCTTCATGTGGCCCCTCCACTGGTCCATGTGGCTCGGCATCTTTGTCTCCCTCCATGTCACCGCCATCTTCCTCACCCTGTATGAGTGGCACAGCCCATTTGGTATGACGCCCCGTGGACGCAACCGCGACCGGGTTTTCTCCTTTTCCTCAGCACTCAACGTGTGCTACGCTATTCTTTTTGGGAGAACGGTTGCCATCAAGCCACCAAAGTGCTGGACAGGTCGTCTGCTGATGAATCTCTGGGCCATCTTCTGTCTGTTCTGTTTGTCCACTTACACTGCTAACCTGGCTGCTGTCATGGTCGGGGAGAAGACCTATGAACAGCTGTCAGGGATACATGACCCAAAGGTACAAAAGTTGAAGTTTAAATGGTCTGAAAATATACTTTCTATCAACATCTTACTATGAGTAACAGGGTCCTACATTAGCACACTCTTTTCTTCCCAAGTTAGAACAGTTTAGGTCATCACACATACTGTAGATCATACTGATCATCCGCCATACACAATTGGTCAACGCAATAGATCCCTGTGTGATCTCAGTCTCAAGTGACAATGCTTCTGCCTTGTTAGTATTAGCAGTGAGTGCATCAAACCAAGCATTCCCTTTTCCTTGCTAGGTTACGTTAACCAATAGCTGAATTCGTCACATGACACGACGAGCTGAAGATAGGATAAGAGACTGATTCAAAACAAATCTAATGTGTTTGACATGGTTAAAGAATTATTCTGTACCATCCTCCAGTTTCTAGTTGTTGATGTGATAATACTGTAGACAAAAAGGTCATGTATCTTTTCTTAATTTTACTTGAATTCTGCAAATGTATTCCTCACTAAAACCCATCTGTGTAAGGGTAATTGGGCTAAGGTAATTCATTCTTTTTAATCAACTCAACAACTCTCTGAATCTCAACAATGAAAGAATAGGCCTACTTAGGGGCAGAAAGTGGGAAGTGAAGTGGAAAATAAATATTAATGTTTTTTGAATACATTTATAAGGAACTATTCTGTTTATTTCTTCTTGCATGCAGCTGCACCATCCCTCTCAGGGATTCCGATTTGCCACAGTGAAAGAAAGCAGTGCAGAGGACTACGTCAAGAAGAGTTTCCCTGAGATGCATGAGTACATGAGAAGATACAATGTACCAGCAACACCAGATGGAATACATCATCTCAAGTAAGGCAGTGTTGTACGTATAGACCACATAGAGCATGCACTCTGGCAATCAGAGACATACTCCTAAAAAAATGTATAAGCTAGTCTTCACTGAATCAGGTCCCACTGGCATCTGCCTTATTATAATCAATTTATCCAAATAGTTGCCTCTTGCTGTCATCATCCCCTGAAAATCAACTTTTCTCTGGTCTCTCACATGCGCACAAAGGGAATGGGAGTTGCATAGAGAAAACAAGAAAAAATGAATGCGTGTGTGTGGGGGGGGTGCATCCCTGCTGCTGTCATGCCCCACTGCAAGCCCGCTCATGCGCATTCAGATCTCACCCTTCTCCTGCCAATGCTGTCATCCAAAAGCTGCTTCAACATTCAACTGGCATCCCTAGGAGCAAAGCAGAATATAGTGAGAAAAGGCAGCTGGAACGCAGGCCTAAGCTGAGTAGGAGACTTTTTTTTTTTTTTTTACTGAGCTTGCAAAATGCTGATTGGAGCATTCAACAAAGAATGTCATATTTAGAAAATTACAGAGCATCATACAGGTGTGCCACAATTTCACTTTAAATGCTGTCTTCAGGGTTTACTGCCAAGGGACCAGGCATTAGTTATCAATCACATAATCACACAGTATGTGTGTGTTTTATGTCATGTGACATATTATTCATTGACATTAAAGTGACAGCAGCAGCACTAGAGATTAAATTCGGTGTTAATGAAATTTTGGGACTGCTGTGATTACCTTCACACACAAAAAAGTATTGATTGTATTTTAAAAAACATTTAAAAAGATCATCTTCTGCTAAAAGGAATACTCCACATTTTCATATAGTATAGTGATGAGTACAATATTTATCTTGTAATTAAATCCAAAGCATAATGATAAATGGTATCTATTAAGGGAGTGCAAGCAGCATGGGAGTAAAGAATATCTGCATAGCACAAACATTGTGCTTAACTAGGAGCACATTATCTTATCCTAGAGACAAAAATGTTTTATTAGAATTTAAACAACTGATTTTTATCTTCAATTTCTATACCTGTATGGTGGATAAAATGCAATGTCTTGTTAGCCATTAGCACAAGCTTGAGGTATGCAGCTATGTCTGAAGAATGTTAGACAGACTGAATTCTTGATACAGTTCAAATTGACAAGGAGTTAAATGCATAAGACTGTATAATCCACATAAAAAGGAAAAGGATCAAGTGTGACCCTTGTAGTATCCTCTTATTTTTCTCCAGCAGAGACTGTTTTGTCCACCCTGCTTGAACTCACATCATGACTTGTGAAATCTTAGAGGTCTGTTTGTAATATTTTTCTTTTCCCTGTGGGAGGAAGCCAAAGTACCCAGAGGGAAAAGTATGCAAGCTCTCCAGTCAGCCACCAGGTTCGCACCCAGAACCTTTTTTGTTGTGAATTAACAGTGCTAATCACTGTACCACTGTGCTGCCCTACCTCTGTAGAATGGACTTGAAACAGGGAGTGTGAGTACAGTACAGTAAGTTGGCAAAGGCAGTGATTTTACTGGCATATGATCAAATGAAGTAATGGAAAACTACAGACAAGATCAACCTGAGAAATAAGAGGTTCAGATAAGACAAAAGTGTGAGGAAATTTGTTGAAACATTTACATATCATGTGGTTAGGGTAAATTATACTCTGAAGGCTCTATAAAAAGGACCCACAAGCACAAAGAAAAACTAATCATTCTGAAATGCCACTGATTAGATTTTCATGAAACTTAATGTCATACTGTCAGTTCCAGCAATAGTGTTAAACTATCTAAGCATCACAGAAGATAAAAAGCCATGTATTTAATATTGGCAGTGCAATGATTTACTATAGTGTTTGTTATTGCTTAGACTGAAGAGAACTTAACATACATAGTGTGTTAGATGAAGGTTGTACTGAACAGTGAGTAATAAACCCAAGTAAAAAAAAACTGGTCACTGCACCTCAAAATTGCTTAAAAGACAACAGAATTTGAAATTTTTGTGGTGTGGAGCAAATGTTACCTACCATAAAGTGCATGAAACAGAAGGTGTGACATCTTTTTTTTTTTTTTTTTATACACCTGCACTGCTCTTACAGTATACTGTATCTTCTTGCTGCGTGTTTACAGGGCTGACCCTCAGAAACTGGATGCATTTATCATGGACAAAGCTCTGCTGGACTATGAGGTCTCCATAGATGCAGACTGTAAAACCCTAACTGTTGGAAAACCCTTTGCAATAGAAGGTAAGACATAATAGCATATCTGTTAATGGTGTTCAGCCCTGACTAACAGGGTACCCATTCACTCAGCAGTTTTTGTTTTGGTAGACCTATATTGCCCCACTGCCCCTGCTTCAATCAATCACTCCTAAACTCTATTGCCAAGTACCTTTTAAATGCAAGGAATTTGACTCTAGCTCAGTGGCTCCCAGTGTGCACCAAATAATATATATATACATATATATTTACACACACACACACACACACACACACACACACACAACTTACAAATGAGCTATTTGGTATAAGTTATTGCACTGATGTGTTTGCTGTTATACATATAAACATAGATTAAGTGTTCAGAGTGATGGCCTGGGGGAAGAAACTGTCCTTGTGTCTGGTTGTTTTGGCGCACAGTGACCTGTAGCACCGTCCAGAGGGGAGGAGTTCAAACAGGCTGTGTCCAGGGAGTGAGGGGTCTGCAGAAATCTTCCCTGTCCTCCTTTTGACCTGTGGGGTGTACAGGTCCTCCATGGAGGGCAGGCTGGCCCCAATAATTCTTTTCACAGTCCTGACTGTCTGTTCCTGGAGTCTGTTCCTGTCCTGTTTGTTTGCCCAGATAAACCAGTCAGGGATGGAAGTGGAGGGAACAGACTCAGTGATGCCTCTATAGAACTGTACCAGCAGCTCCTGGGGCAGGTTGAACTTCCTGAACTGATGCAGGAAGTACAGATACAGCTGCTGCTCAGTTTTCACTATCAGTAAAAACAGAACTGAGCTGACGGATGTTCATATGCTCATCTCCAGTAAAAGTAATCTGGGCAAGGTTGCAGGAGACCAACAAAAACAACAAAAGCACAAGGGAGCACATAACTGAGGCAGCCCTCCATGCCACCATCTTGCTGCCATATAGGCTACATCTAGGGCTTTACTCTCTGCTAATTAGTCTCCAAATCCGCAAAGACCAAAAGATTAAGAAAATTTTAGATAAAATTAGTCACTGATCAGTACTAGAAAGCAATGGATTTCTGGCATCACAAGAGTATTCAAATATGTTTTGGTTTTTAAATTATCACTTTATTTTAGAGGTTTCTCTGCCTGCAGACCAACTGGCCATGAGTCCTTTTAGGGCAGACAATATCAGTCACTCACACTGCACAGCAATTAATCTTCTGGCTTTCAAAAGCTTACTTTCTCAACCCTCCACTGTTATCTCTTGTCCATTTAGCAAGCCTCTTCCTCCCACTGTAAAAATGTTCCCATGGTGTCTGCTTCCATTACAGGCCACCACAGTGCCATTCCAGTGTTACTAATTACTTAATGTACCCTTAGGCCTTCAGGATACAATGGAAATCGGTGTACCTCCTGCCAAGGAAAGGCATTGTATGTAATTGGCCATTGCTGAATTTGCAACACTGACATGCTAACAAATTCTGAGTATACTGACACTGTCAAGTACCTGCATTTGGCAAAACGATCGTGATTCCCTTCTTTCTGCTCAGCAGTTATTTCCTTTGTTCTTTTGCACAGTTATAAAAACTAATGAAAAGAATAGCACATGGTTGTGAAGTGAAAATTATTTTGTGTGTCAACTGGCAGGCTACGGCATTGGCCTCCCTCAGAACTCTCTACTCACCTCCAACATCTCAGAACTTGTTAGTCAGTACAAGTCAGATGGCTTTATGGACACGCTGCATGACAAATGGTACAAGGTTGTGCCCTGCGGGAAGCGCAGTTTTGCTGTGACTGAGGTAAGAACAGCACCTCCTGCTACATACAACACCAACAAACTTTGATATAAAATATCTTCTTATCACCTGTCATTGATGTAGTTCAAAGATGTTTTAGACAGTATGCCAGGATTCTTCCCTGCCAAGAATAAAGAATTTAAATGTATGAATCAATATTTTAATATTAACAATGGATCAATTGGCTATTTATGTGTGAAATCGCCCACAGTATCAAAACGAGAGTGAATAATAGCACTACATACTACAGTATATGGTCAGAAATATCTCTAAACGAATGCTAATGTTGCTCTGTCTTGTAAGAGCTATTAAAAAAAAAGTTAAGTTAATGCATGTTAAAATACAAAGTGAATTAAGGACATGAGATACAAAATTATTGTGTTTATCAGGTCACTGTTAAGGTGAAAGTAGTATAGAAAAGGAATTTTTTGTGTAATTCATGAAATATACACTCTCTGAAAACACCAAAACTGCACAGGAAATACGTACAAGTGAAATTGTATAGCGCCAATTCACAACAACAATTACCACAGGGCACTTTACATAATCACATCTAGACCTTACACTATTAAATGAGGGGTCCCTTCCAGGATGGCAGCGCCTCCATCCCTATAGGCTACGAGGGGTCACTGACAGATTTGATGAATATGAAAATGATGTTAATTATATGCTGTGGCCTTTACAGCCACCAGCTAAAGACCTATGGGAGATTTTAGACCGACATGTTAGACAGCGTCTCCACCACCATCATCAAAATATCAAATGAGGGAATATCTTTGGGAAGAATTGGAATAATCCCTCAGACATCCCCTGGAGACTTGTACAATTAATACCAAGGTGCACTGAAGCTGTTCTGGCAACACCTTACTAAGGCACTTTATGGATTTCCTTTAACTTCTCCATTCTTTAGTTTTCCATCCGTAGCTTTCAAATCACTTAACTAAATTGAAAGGGGATTTTTTTCTTCCTTAACAAAGCCCTTCAAAGTGTCCTTATAAAGGAGTCAGCTCCTCATTTTACTATTTTTTCTGGCTCTAATCTCACAATAGTTTCCCAGCACTTCCTCCACAACCTCCATCTACAATGCATGCTCCATTCAAACTGGCCCCAGCCATCCAGATGCTAACCAAACTGTGTTCCTATACCTTCAGTCCCAAGCAGTCCAAGCCCTGTAGACCATTCTGTTCTGCTGTTACAGACAACTTAGCTCTTTGCAGCCTGCCTGTCTCTCCAACCAGCTGAGACCTTTGGAATTACCAAAAATGGCTCTGAGCTCAGTACAGACTGCACAACCACCATTATCAAAGCATGAACTAAAAAGTCACTTATTTTCCCTTATCTGACCTGCTTCTTCCCTTATTTGTACTCCAGCTTTTTATTATTCATTTCTTTGCTACTCTGTGAGACAAGCAATATAATCTCTGCTAGTTGCTCATAATGATATCTAATTAAGAACCACTCATGCTTCGTACCTTTAAATGGCAGTATCACCTAAACACATTTAAATTACTACCTTAAGAGACTCAAAAGTAGCAGAAGTTGTTGCACTGCAGTGGCACAGATTCAGCTTTCCTGAAGGAAACCATTTTCCACTGTGTAACAGCTAGATGTGCTATAGATGCTATCTACAGTTGCAGGCATTTAAATTGCTCCAGGTACATTTCACGCTGCAGCATCATGCCTCTGCCTGCCTATAGTAACAGCAGAGAAACCTGGTTTATCTGTGTGTTATGTAACTTTACATGCAACTACAGTATCTTAGGTGCTGTGCAGAAATTAGAGTATAAGGGATGTGTGCACCCTAGTTAGCATATTGTAACTAATGTTCTAAATCAGTCTAAACTGATGCTTAAATTTCATGTTGCTCACATGCAAACAGTGTCATCATAACCCAGGAAGTCCAACAAAAGGAACATATGTTGGCACAATTACCATGTGCTGTCAAAATTTGTTCCTGCTCAGCGTTTTTTTTTAAGCAACCTTTTATTCAAATGAATGACTGCTACACCACCAGCAGCAAACCTGGGATCCTGAAAAGCTGATAGATCTGATGGATTGGCTTCAGTGAGGCAGCCAAACTCTCTGTCATCTGGCCAGCTCTCTGCACCCCACCCCTCTTATTTCAAGTAATACAATAAATACCAATAAAAGGCACAGTAATCAATTAGCTAACATTAAGAGAGCCAAACCTAAAATCACCAAGACATTAATAGTGACCAAAAAGTGTTATGTGCTTTATTGAAGTTATCTACAGATTTCTGAAGCTTTTTTTTTAACAATCAGTGAGTGTAGTGAATCAAAAGAAGGTAGACTCAAAACATAAAAGCAGAGTGGTGAATTATAAGATCTGTGTAAAAAGTGATTGTCCCATATGGTTGGATACAGTGAAAAGAGACGGCATACATGTGTTGCCTCATGTATACAGTATGGGCTCAAATGAGTCGATCCAAAGAAGAACTATGGGGAAAGGATACATACACACCCGCTTACACTGCTTTATGTAATGGGGCTAAGTATTATATTGAATTATTGCCATGCATGTTGAATAAGCCTGTCTTACTGTTGAAAGATAATACCACTGTAATTTAATGTTTCCCTGTTTCAGTATAGTAGTTTAAAATGCATTCTCCAGCAGTCAGATACTGCTACTGTCTGTACTGCTCGACTTCACAGGAATCATCTGCCCCCAAAATTTCATTATAGCCAGCTCACCAAGTCACAATACCGTTTTGACGAGTTTAATCTACTGTATCATGTATTCTTCTCCAACATGACTTTATAATGCAATCATTGCAGCTGCTGTACTGTCACAAGCTGTTCCACACTCAGCAGTAAAAAAGATTCATATGAAAATGTGCATCTGCAGTAAAAGCAACAAGTGCTCAATTAAGAAGTGTAAGAAGTGTAATATCACATTTGCAGATGACTACAGTGATTGTGCTTTTATAAATTCAAGTTATGGAAAACAATACATGATACATTAAATTTGCCAATGCAGCATTTTTTCTGTGAGCTGCTTTTTAAATGGAATTTTGAAAAGAATTAGAGCCGATGGCCAGCCAGACTTGCTGTAATAGAGACAGTAGGAACTTTTACTTGTGATGGGTACACCACATTTCATGGGTAATAATGATCAGCTATAGCTAGTGCCAAACGATTATGCTGTGGCTTGCATACAGTAATATGCACAGAGCATGAGGACTTCAAGATAGAGTTTCATCTATCATTAAAAATAACTTTTTTTAAGTTGTAATCTTATTTTGTCTTATGTGAGTGTTTTACCACCATGCAGAACAGCCTAAAGGACTTTACAATATATAACTGTACCTCCATGGTGAAGGGTTTCTACTCTTAATGTTCCTGCTCCTCCATTAGAGGTGACAGATCTGCATCCCTGATCTTACTCTCTGGAGCTTCACCTCCTTTCTCCACATTCTTTCCCTGCCATACAATGTCACTCAATGACCGTCTCTCTCCAGACGCTGCAAATGGGCATAAAGCATTTCTCCGGCCTGTTTGTGATGCTGTGTGTGGGCGTGGCCTTATCTCTACTGACCACAATAGCAGAACACATTGTGTACAAGCTGGTGATCCCAAGGGTCAAAGAGCCGCGCTTCAAATATTGGTTGCACACCAGCCAGGTACTCAAACACAAACATAGTGAAGCACGCTTTCAATCACAAGCAAATTGTACAAGCCACACTGCAATTGCCAAGTAGTCATAACACCACATACAAAGTAGTAATTTTAACAACATATTAGCAGCAATGTGTACTTAATAGTGAAGTTCATATGCACTTAATGACACAGTTTTGATTGGTGCCCTCTCTGTTTCTCATTAACACACACATGTATATCATACCTAGCTGGTAATGTTTCCAATAAACAACAGAATAATCTCGTAAAATAATAACAGACAAATTATTTCCTGCAAGCATGAGACAACTAATGTGTTGCTTGTTTTCCAGAGATTACACCGGGCCCTCAACACAGTCTTCACTGATGACAAACTACCAAGTGTTACCAAGCCTGAGAAGAGGTACTGTCACCACCACATCATGACTGAAGGCCAGGCTCAATTCAGTTTTAGTTCAGTCAGAAGATTCCAGTAGATTACAGTAATATAAACTGATAGATTAAGCGTGAACATAAAAGTTTAATTTAACTGATTGAAGTGAATGTGAACTGAGCCCAGCTGTGTTGGAATTATTTATGACCCATTGAGTACTTAATGTTTAACTTTAGAGTCTTGTCATGCTAGAATACATTAAAAAACAGGCCTGCCAGTCAGTGTAAGCAACTCTAAAATGCTGCAGTAAATTAGTGCTGACAATTTTACATGTGGTGTTTCTTTTTCAATCACTATAGTTACACTGTGACTTGATTATATGCTTCATTTCAGTCGGAAACACATCAAGAAAGTGATCATTTATAACAAATGTTTACAGTTGGTAGAAAAACTGTTTGCTGTTTGAGGGTGCACCTTTAAAACAATGTTTAATAATATAGAACCACTGCAATCAAACATCCTGAATATGCAACAAGCAATTTCAGTTTCCATTGAATTCTAACTGTCTTTACTAACCCAATATAGGTAACTGCTTTAGGATGAACACAAGGCCACATACATGAGACAGTTTACAATCAGAATTAATAACAAAAACCACCTTGAGCTAAAAGAAAAAAAAACCCAAAACAACTTCAAACCATGAGGGGGAAAATATGCCCAAGACTAATTTAGACCATACAGTACTAGTGCAATTATCACTTAAAGCATTAACAAGCCAATGCCAGAGAGCAACACTAGAAATTAGCTCGACTACTGACTTTCATTTGAATGCCAATGCAAATGAATACAAAGACACTAAGCAACATAAAAGCAACCTGAGCAGCCAGCATCACAAAATCACCATCAAGCATGCAGAAGCCAGTAATTCAGGCTTGACATGAATCTGAGCAGCCAGGAAAAGCAGAGAAATAGCCAACAACAATGCAGCCACAGGTGTGCTGGCAATGCCAAGGAAACAAAGTGCACTGAAGCTAAACATGCCATGTCACCAGTAATGAATCGCAAGTACAAGCAGAATGTAGGCCTACTTACCTCAGGACAGGTATAATGTTGAAATCCGGTAGGCCCCTGGCAGAGTGGACGGGGTGCAACAGAAAACGTGGCTTCAATCCCACCGGTATCATGAAATGAAGACTGACCGACACCCGCAAAACGCAGCACACGCGGCGCAATGCGATTATTTACTCATTTACTCCAAAATAAGACGCACTGTCTTTATGGCAGCAAACGGTGTTAGTATGAACAAATCGTAATTCACCTGCATCTATATGATTGGGCGTTGCTCACTGCAGAGCTGTGAAATTGCTAATCAACGTAAAGAACAGTTCTGGAGCCAGTAAGCCAACACAAGCATGACTTAGTGCAAGTGCCCTACCTGTGCTGACGCTAGGCATCAGAAAGTGAAGAAACCTTTATGTAGATTTTATTTGCATAAAATACCAGAAAGATGCATAAATTTAAGATTGGTGCCATGCTGAATTGTGGGGTATATTTATGAACCATATTTAAGCCCATACTGTATATTAATCTTCACTGGCACTACAAATGCACAGAAGCAGCCAATTTTCCAACTTTGGCCAAATTATCAGGCTGGGAATAAGTGACATTAATTAACATCCAAGGGACCCCCTTTTAATCAGGCACTAAATTGCATGTTCAGTCTGTTGGAAGCTAATTATCAGTAAAAGATACTGAGGAAAATAATCTCTTGCTGGCATCATGGAGTAGCCTGTTTATCACAGGGGGTGAGAGAGGGAGATTTAATAAATCATGAAAGCTTCTTTTAAAAGGTTGCATGACTGCACTTTCTCCAGATTAGTTACATAAACTTTCACAATCCTTTGGACATCACTTATGGGTGTTTCAGTGCCCTTTTATCCATATTTGTTCACTGCTCACAGTGCCAAGTTTAACATTATTTTAGAGCTTCCTTTTTTGCTATCAGGTAACCATATGTTTTATGTAGGACTCTTTAGGCTTCAAAGGATATATCAAAACAAACCTCAATCTTTTGCTGAGAAAAAGTGTTTCATTTTATCATAACCTGTACGAAACATTCTGTTGCACTCTATTCCTATCCCTGCTCAGCACTGCACACTGAGGGAATGCTCAGGTGAAGGATTCGTAGTGGGGGATTAAATGCATGTAATAATTATGGAGCCAAGGCTATGTAAGGTATGTCTGTGGTAATGACGATAGATTACCTGTTCCTTTATAATTATGCTTATTTAATCAAGCTCTTCAGCATTGTGCCTGCATGATGCCAAAGAGTGAGAAATGATTACTCCAGTATCCTATTGTCAGTGTCCTCCTGAAACCTTGTGTGCCTGAACTCTCTGTTATACAAGTACAAATAAGTTGAGATTGTGTGTGTTGAATGGTTCCAGCTTGGGGCTGGTTAGGAGACAGACAAACTTTTTACTGTACAGTATCAGTGCTCTACTACACTACAGTACATCTTACAGAAGTGCTGTATATACACCTCTTATTCATCAGCATAATCAAAAGTAGGCATTACATAACCAAAGAGATCATATGTGTAAAACTTAAATGGTTTAACAGCACTAATTAGGATTGGAGCCATAATATATTTCATTTCCTAACTGTGCTAAGAAAGCTGATGAATAACCCAAGGGCATCAGAGAAGTGTCTGTAATACCCTGAAGCACTCTCCGATGGCCAATTAAGATTATGTGATTTATTATCAAGCGCAGTGTTACAATCATGTATCTCTACAAAAACCTTCCAACCGACATCCACACTAAAACAAGATTATCTGTCACTTCTACTAAATCAATAATATGAGTTACAATTTAGATACTAGACTGGCTAAAATAATTGCTCCTTCTTTTTGTACTTATACTGTCCCTTTAATAACTAAATTATGCTATACTGTCATTTATTTTAGCGGCACTGAGATTTTTTTTTAAATTATTTTTCCCTTCATTTTTAAAGAAACTTTGCTTTTTGCTAGATTATAGTGGTGTGTATTTCGTATACCACTCCAGCTGTATACATACAGTAAGTGCTAGTTAATTATTCTACTGTAGGTGCAGTTTAGGATAGCATTTGTGTTTTTGCTTGTGCTTCCTCACCTTCAAGGGCACATATCTTCACACAAGAGTGTGAGCCTGGACAGCTGGAGCAGCTCAGTGTCGAAGGAGCTGGGCAAAGATTGTACTTTCCTGTTTCAGTCCTCATGTGTGATTCTTGTGTAGCACATCATCACCTCAGTTTGAAAGATGTGTAATCACAACAGATGAGCCACTCTACAACAGGGTAATACAAATGGACCAAATCTGGCATTAATGTCCTCACCCTCCTCATGATCAAGAGGTCATTTCTGGCTTTACAGGACTGTGCACGGTACCTTGGGGCTGGAAGAGATCCAATATCTTGCTCAAGGACATTTCTTCAGAGTCCATATCTGTCTGGTGCACCTGTGTCCTGCTGTTTGAATAACAGCCTCCCTGTCCAACACACTACAGGCTGTGCCTGTGTCTCATTGTGACTCCTGGTCACATCTGTCAGTACAGATGGGTTGAGAAATACTGGTCAGTGGTGAAATATTGATAATTCCATTCTGAGGATGTATCTTAGAGAACCATTGCAGGTAAAATGTGAATAAACAGTGAGCTGCTCTTTTCATAAGCTGCAGTGGTTGGCATGAGATATGAAAGCACCTGTAATTATTTAAAGTTCTGAGTAGTAATAACCTTGGAGTTTATATTTGGTATGTGCTTCTAACAACTTTGGATGGAAATCAGTACTTTTGAAAATTTAAGTGAAGCTTTCAGCATATAGTAAAGAGAGGAATCTAGTGACTGAGGAGATTTGACGTAGGAGGGACCAGATATTTCTGAAAATTACGTGTTGGAATCCTGAGAGCTGTAAAGTGGAGTGAGGATGGCCTCTCTGAAGAAAAGGAGCAGAGGTACTCTCTCAGCAGCTGGGAATACCACAGTACAATCTTCTTTTAGATGATTTAAAAAAGGCTGCTTTGCAGTTGAGTATATAGTCTCCTGGCCTCTTTGTATACACAATTTAAAAATCTGATGTCAGAGAGGAACACCATGTTGGAAAATAATGGCATTATATAGTAAAAATCAAGAGGATATATTTTATTTTTCAGCATGTTTTCTATTTAATAAACATGACTGTTATCGTATCTCTGCGATGGATTGGCAACCTGTCCAGGGTGTACCCCGCCTTCGCCCAATTGCCGGCCGGGATTGGCATTTCATTATATTTTTTGTGGGACACCACAGTGGTCATCTAGGCCAATAAAATAAGATAAACTAAAATAAACCAGGCCAATAATAAATTAAGTAAAATAGCCATAATTTAGGGTCAGTTTTTGCATTAATAATGCTTATATATGTGATAAAATAGGGATGAATATCCTGAAACTTAAGGTTTAAGAGATTTGATGTTTAAATTCAGCCATGATGTAAGCACAGGTGCCTTCTTTTCTAAATGTGCATATATCTTTTTAAGATTAAACACTTTATGTTCTTATACTCTGATGTCTCATCCTTCAGCTCCAGTCAGGAGTATCTCATTAGAGTCTTCTTGTCACCTTTTTATCATCTACAGAAATAACTTTGATTCAGAGAGGTCTTCACATAGGTTCCAATTCATATGTTGTGGATTGCTCTTGTCAACCCTTTTAATAAAATCATGATTATCTTTCAGCCTGCTGAATCCTATACCTATCCTATAGATTACTAGTGGATATAAACTTTGCCTCTTCACTTGCAAACGCTTTGGGCAAAGTCTAAAGTGGCTTCATGTTGCAGGAGAATTTTCCTTAGTGCAATCAAAGGAATTCTTAAGAACCATGGCTGGCTGTTTATGTGACTTTAAAGCTCCAATGGAATAATTGGATTATATTTTTCTTCTGCAGTTTGATACACAACAAGAAACATGACTATACCAGGCAAATGAGCTGAAAAGAAGGCATGAGATGTGCTGTAAAATGGAGGTTGATTGTGATTTATACAGCTCCTCCATTACTCCCTCGAGTGGCACATAGAGAAAGGATATGTTTTTATTCCAATTGTCAAGGGTTATGTGTTGAAATTTGGCTAGAACATGACATTTATGGTGTTGTGTTAAACTGACACATCATACCTTCAACTGATGTTACTGCTGCTGGTGCTCATTAGCTTCAAGATGAAGGTACTGTACACCTCCAGGATGGATGGCAGAAGTTGTTGGGATCAGTGCTGACACCAGAAGAATATTAATTGGACATAAATTTGATTTCTACAAGTAAATAGTCAAGGGATTTTTTTGTCTTGGAGGCCTATTCATTAAAAAAGAAAACTAAGGTAAATTGCATGGGTTGTCTGCATTATTTCAACAGTGACATTATTATGACAGTGTGTGTTAAAAATAAAACCAGGCATCAATTCCTACTGTACCTGTGGCATCACAAACCTGTGTCAGCTTCGCAATCTTTATTGGGTGTACTTTTATTGGTCATGCTCTAACAAAAATAGACTTGTAATGTGACCATTAGGCCAACTAGTGGGGGCAAGAGAAGCATTCCACAGAGGTCCAACCCAATCTATCAACCTGCTAGGACGTCCCTACTGTATGCTCACTTGTCTACAAGACTAGTCACAACCCAACCATAGCTTCTTTGAAATGATGATCTTTATGTGGCATTAATTAAAACTGTGCTGCTAAATGTTACTATGGGGGACAAATCAATCAAATGAAGGACTCTGTTCTCCCCTAAAAATGATCCTAGATCATCTTAACAATAGAAAGTTGATGAATGCCAGGTTATTTCTACAGCCTAATGCTCTTTAAATAATTTGCAATCTCTGGGACCCCAGTGGGTATCTTGATCCTGACGGCGGGCATAGGGTTGACACCATCTGTGTAACTGTATAGTAACCAAAGAAAAAGATGCCATCTGAGGGACTGTCAGACAATAAACAATTCTCCCACACTGGTATTCTTTGGAAGAAAACAGAACTTCCACCTTACTCATGTCTCTGTGTCCGTCTTATCTCTAGGTGCAATGAAGGAAACAACCAGTCAGCATCTTGGAATCCTACAGAGTCCTCCCACTGCAACAGGCGAAGAGTCCTTAAGCAAGAGATGCAGAATGACCTGGAACATTCATCTTCCCAGGGTCTTCCTCCGCCACCGCCCCCATCTCCCCTTCTTCATCACCATTCCCTTCCCCTGCTGGAGAAACACCTACCCATAGTGACCACTTCCAACGGTCGCTCTGACCTGTTAGGGCGGGCACTGGGCCAAGGACTGGGGCCAGGGCAGGCTGGCTCTGTACATGGCATAACACAGTGCCGAGGCTTGGGTGTGGGAGACTGCGGCCCTGGCTTGGCTGCGGGCCAGAACCCACTGGCTCAGGAGTTATCTGAACTGGAGGGTCAAATCCTTGTAATCAAGCAGCAGCTGCAGTCAGCTATGAGGAGGAAGAGAGAGCTAGAACAGTACCAATCAGAAAACCAGCAAGCAAACCAGACTGTACCTAGTCAGCCAACTACACACCAGTCTAACCAGTTTTCTCAGTATACCCAGTCCCACCAGCAGACTAATCAACACACAAACGCACTTCCGGAGTTCTGAAACTTTTCTCCTCTGTGTTGCCTAGAGAAACTTGGTTAGATTGGACACATTTCTAAAACATCCTGTAGGGTCTGGAGAGGATCCTAGTCTGAGTTCTGGAGCAGGAACCTTCACAGCAGAAGCCTTCTTGAGGCTCAGGAGTACCCCTGAACACTGGACTGAGATCTCCGGGGATCAGATTGTGTTCTGTAAATCCAATAGGACATTCGCTCACTTCTGGAATGTGAGATTTGATAGACAAAAGGCACTGGTCACAGGTGAACCAGGGATCCTGAACTGAATCTGTTCTCACAAGCTTGCTGCTGTCACTAAAGAGCTGTGAAACCCTTTCCTCTTCTTAATGTCTGCCTTTTTCTTCACCTCGTATTCACCTCTTTCTAAGCCTTCAGTTTTTCTTTTATTTGCATTCCTATTTTTTCTGCTCCTTCCCTTTGTCTCTGCCATCCCTTTCCTCTAAGCCTTGTCACTTCTAAGGTACAGATTTGCTTGTCATGACAATAAGCTTGATTATACAGTAGATATGATGACTCTTTGGTATTTAAGCTTAATGGGCTAATTCACTTGAGTCTTATGTTGAGAATCACTAAGAGTGTAAAATGGCCTGAGGTTGAACCCAATCCGTTAAGTCTTTATGTCCTCGTATCTTTGGGGGAAGAGATGGAGATTTGCAACTGCTGCTGAATGGTTGATTTGACCATTGACACCCTGATGCTTCTGGCCTTTGATAGTGAGTTTAGTTTGACTTGGGGATTTTTTTTTTTTGTAAGTCTTTTGAGGATTGATGGGCTGTTGTTACAAGAAGAAAAACAAGAAAAGATTCAAAATGTTTGACAGGATAACTCTATATTTATCAAGAACATCTGGTTGGTAGTGTGTGGTGGATTATGGGACAATCCAACATTTTATGGATCACTGTTGTCCTGCACTTCATGGATGCACTTCTAGTTTCTTAAAGGAAGCTGCACCTAAAGTTCATCATATAACTTGTCAGAGTTTAAGTTATGGTCAACAGTGTTTCTTTTTCATGTGGGCTTCAGGCTTATAAACAACATGGGATATGAAAAAATAGTAAAATACGCTGTACAGAAATGATAATAAGTAAAAGATCCTTCTTCTTTTCTTGCCAGGTGTCCCCCCAAAAAAATACTTTTTTGCTCAGTCTCTTGATATCATACCGGTGCTCTTGTAACATCATGATACAATAAACACAGGATTGTGTTTTGGTACAAAGCTACTGTTAAATAGAGGAAGATGTCAACATGAACATACTGTAGACCACTACTCAAACTCTGACTGTTTATTTTATTAATGATGAACATTCACATGTGAACACACTCAAACAGTGATGAGTTTTTTTTGCATTTTTTCTGTTTGAATTTCGGTGTGTTCTGTTATTAAATAATTACCTCTACTCTTCTTGCACTTAATTGAAATGAAACCTTTATTTTTTTGGTCCCCATAAAATATTGTAACCATCGGACACATTTATTCATGTGTAGAGGTATTATTATGGTGTCTATGACACCAGAGGAGCAGATGACTTCTAGGGCACACCAATCACAACATGTGCTAAAGATTTATTTGCTGGAATTTGTTTTGTTTTTTTCAAGTTGGCCATTGAGATTCACCTGCGGTTACTCATTTCCTCTTATCTAAATCATTCCCTGCAGATATAATTTTACAGTATTATTATGGTGTCTATGACACCAAGGCAGCAGATGACATCTAGGGCACACCAATCACAACATGTATTAAAGATTTATTTGCTGGAATTTGGTTTTTTTTTTTTTCAAGTTGGCCATTGAGATTTACCTGCGGTTACTCATTTCCTCTTATCTAAATCATTCCCTGCAGATATAGACATAATCAACCCACTCAGAACTGTGCTGCCTACTTTGAAACAATATTTGGCTGTTGCACTATTCTTCACATATATTGCTAGGGGACAACAATATGGACTATTACGCAGACATACTCAGAACAGCCAAGGATGACATTCTATAAACACATAGCATGGTCAAATACTGCTACATACACACATTATACATAAAGAGCCACCTTCTATTTAGCCAGCGTGTCTGCAGGGTAACCGCAGGCTGAAATGAATACCTGACAAAGTACAAGAGCAAGTGCGCTGGCTGAACCATCAGCTTTGTCTGTGTATGTGTGTGTGTGTGTGTGTGTGTGTGTGTGCTTTGCTTAGCCCACAGACATTACTGAAGTTGATGCAGTCGTAACAGGATGAAAAAAAATGTTTAGCGCAATATTACACCACCTGACTATTAACCAAAGTATCACATTCATTCTTTTCTATTTGCAATCACTCTGCTCAGTATTTATACTAATCTGAACCAGAACAACACATTAGGGATGGAGTGGGTCATAAACTCAGCCCTGGAGTTTGAATGTGGTCCCTGCAAGCACTGTCTCTAAACCCTAGTTTTAAGATAACATATTTTTACAGCACTATACAAGCCAGTGTACTACTATCACAACTGTAGTAGTAGCACGATTACCAATAATGTCAATCACGATTATTGAGGAGATCTTTATCTCTAGACAGAGGTGAGTCTGTCTATACTATTGTTTAGCTTTATGGATTTAATTAAATCTAGTCAGTCAGACCTGACAAACAGGAGGATAGCATCAAATCAAAAAGCAAGACAAAATAGCTATGCATGAAAAGAAGAGATGAAAACGAGATAAAAGGAAAAGAGGGCAATGAAATGAGGAATCTGGTAAGATAGGAAAGACAACAATAAAGCAGGACTGACAAATGAGAAATCTGCCACAAGAGCATGAACGCAAAACAAAATAAAAAATAAATAAAAGGCACACACTGGATAAAATAGGGATGGAAGACTGGAGGCTGAAAAGACATAAAGAACTATTGGGAAAGAAGGCCAAGAGAAGTTAAACACAACAAATGCACTTCAAAGGAAAACTGGAAAACATACTTAAAGCAGAAGAAACGGAGATAGGACTTTTGCCATCAACATTTAAAAAACCATCAGCGAAGAAAACGTTCAAACCCAGAGAAGAGGATATGAAAAGGCAGCATTCTTCAGAAAGTAGAAGCTGGCTGGATAGATGAATTGAACTACAACAAAGAATATTGAAAGAGAAGTAGTAATAAAATGTCAGGAAGCATCCATGTAGGAAGAGAAATGAGAAAGCACAGACAAACAAGCTGCAATAGATCAACTGTCTCCATGGTCTACGCAGAGTTAATGGAGTAACTGTGTACTAGTTTGACCAGCAATCATAGATAGATAGAATAGAACAGGTGAGCACTGCATAAATCAATGGGTTTACACAGCATATCCTTTGTGTGCATGTGTAAAATAATTATTCACATTCACTATCCCTTCCAGTCGTCAACTGACCCATCTTCTTCACTTCACACAAAGCTCAGTCAGATGAAACTTTGATTCAGATGGTTGGAAAGGGGGGTGGGATTAACAAGGAGTAAAGAAGAGGTCCTGCCTGGTGGGAGTAAGTGTAAGAACAGTGAACAGTGAGAGAGGGAGAAATGTTTTAGTTTTGGTGCTTCAACAAGTGAAAAGTCTGCAAATACCGTTTCAGAACCTTATGTGTGTTTGGCCTCCAACACAGGCCTGATCTAGGGCACCCATCACAGTGGGTTTTCCCTGAACTTTGATGGATATATGTCCAGATTATCAATCCACTTTAGTGTCCCATCCTTTTTCAGAGCTGAGCGCAGAGCAATTTTGTTCAGTGAAAGGATATCTTTAACCATTAGGTGGCTGTGGCTCAGGAGGTAGAGTGGGTCGTCTCCTTCAAATCCTGGCTTCTCCAGTCTACATGTCGAAAGGTCCTTGGGCAAGGCACTGAACTTCAAGTTACTCCTGATGACTGTGCCATCAGTGTGTAAATAGGAAATAGTGTAAAGCGCATTGAGTGTGCTTCATTGCATAGAAAAAGTGCTATATAAGACCATTTACCATATTTTTAAGATGGAGATTCTTGAGGTTCAAGTTAGAGCCAATTACAGAAAAGAAGGTGGGATTAACATGTAGCAGAGAAGACTCTGTAGGGTCAGCCTGCAAGGCTTAACTCTGGGCCAAATATCCAGATGAGATCTCTGGGTATTCAAATTAACACAAGAACCTCTTCTGGCAAGGTAGACTAAGAACTCCTGTCTACCTCAGTTTCCCCCTCTTTAGTACTTTAGTTTGGAACTAAACTAGGAGAAGAATGGGGCTGCACCACTTCCACAATCCTAACATACTACTTATGTTGGGCCACCTTTATTCACAGTAAGAAATCAAATGTATGCACATTTAGTTAAATCAGTCTGACACCAAATGAAAAACACAAGAGAACACATTGCTGCTACTGACTATTTAATTTGTGAACAAACCAAGAAAAAAAATATATGCAGCATTTCAGATCCTTTTTTTGTTTGTTTTCAAAATAAAAGACAATTATAATCACTATGATAATGAGCATAATTCAAATCATGAATATCTATTAACATCTTGACTTCTTTCTTCATGCTGGGCATATCTTCCAACAGAAAATGGAGTCACAACATTGCATCACAATCCACTGGTGGGTCAGGGAGGGGTGGCTCAAGGAGGAAAAGTGAAGGATGAATGATTAGCCTGGTTTCCATTAAAAAGGCTAGCCGGGACTTGTTGTAAGTAAGTCACTCATTTTCCCTCCAAAGAGCATTTTTATTTTTTCCCCCTTAGTGTATATTTTGTAAGGATGTCTTCCATTGGGATTCTGGTATAAATTTAATTGTAAAGCTATACCAGTGGCATCTTCAGGTACATCTGAAGCAAGCTAGCCCCACTGGACCTCTCTGAAGAAGTTCCTTTTTACATCACAGTGAATCAGGAATTTGGGGTGAAACACACTCACATAGACAATTTCAACCAATCACATTTTCATACATTGTGGCTGATACTGTGGCACTGCAGGTGCCAAACCCCATTTTCTGACTCATAGGATGTCACCGACTCTTCTTGTCATTTTCTCCAAAGGAAAGAAGGGTCATTCCCCAAAACACCAAAACTGATACTGAAACCAGATTTACAGCAGGCAAACAGGTCCAAATGGATTATAATAGTCATACAGATTAACAAAAAAATCTTTACAAAATATGACCTGACATGGTCAATTAATGTACAGAAAGAGATAATAAAAAGAAGGATTCTCTTTTTTTCTGTACAAATGACAAACACCACAGAACGACAACATCAATATTTTTTTCCATAGCAGATATTTCAGACTAAGGGAGATAGATGTAGTAATGGACAAGGCGTTTCACCCGACAGGATGTGATGTAAAACAGAGTGAGTCAGCTGACAGGAAGTGTGCAGGTTTAACACCGTCAGGATAGGCTACAGCACTCACTCATACAAAATGTACAAAACACTGTCCTCTAAGTACAAACAGCACATCTTGGAGGAAAAAAATGTCCCATGTTTCAAATGGTTTCAAAAGTCTGGATAAACAACCTGTGCTTAAGTTCGCATGTGATAATTCTGACATGAGCTGCATGCCTCGGCAGGTTGAACTGAGCCGAGCCCCTTTACATGAGAACCATTACAAACATGGTGTATTTTGTCCTCCATTTAAACAGATAAATCAGGAGTGTGTGTGGGGTTTTTGTTTGTTTTTTGTTAAGCATTCGAAGCCACGTGTCATGCGTCCTCGTCATTGTGTCTGGAAGTGCTGTGGAGATGCAAACGTGACCCGGTGCTGCCCCCTTAGTCATGTGACCTCTGTCATCGATGCTGAGTGGTTCTGAAAATGGATATGGGAGGACAAATAGAGGAAGAGGTATAAGGATTGAGAGAAATGAAGAAAACAGAAAATGGAAGGAGGCAGGAGAGGGAAAAGGTGTGGAAATAAATAGAGGAAATTATTAACCAGTGTCAGGAGTGCTTTGTGCAAAGCTCTGTGTAAACAGGAAGACAGGGGTGGAGTGCAAAATGTCATGCCTGTGTGCTCTTCTAAACATGTGTCATTGCTTTGTGTTAAAGAAAGAGACAGAAAGAAAGAACAAAAACACATGAACACAAACCCTTTCTTTAGTTGATTAACATAACACCCTCTCTCTGTAGGAACTCTGAGAAATGGAGAAAATCAGTAGCTGAAGTAAACTAAAGATACAAAACAGATTATGGTAACAGACAAGTTATACTGCAAACCAAATTCCAGTAGACTAAATTCTGAAATAATGCTTTTTTTGCA